CACAAGTTTTTGGGAAGGAAATATGAAGAAATTTTGAATTAAAGAAAAGAAATTACCCAAGGTTCGGCTCTGATACCAAATTTGATGCAGCACCAACGGGACAATTAATTGAGAAACAGAACAAATCTATAGGGAGAGGGAATTAAAGAGAAGAATGGGAAATTAAGGTAGGAAAGAAGAAGAATTTAATAAAAGATGGCAGAATAATGGGAGGGATGTGCCATAAGCCACCAAAATAATTATTCATTCATCATCAACTGAAAATTACAATGCAAAATAAGTTTAAATAGTAAAGCAACCCTAACGAGCTTGGGCCCGAGCCCATACAAGTCCAAATTTAAATAATAGTCCAAGAAATAAATAAAACTTATATAAAATAAGTAAACGTCGTCCCATGTCCTCATCAGAACATCTTTACACAAGGAGTATGCACAATGCTTTAACATTTTCGTTACTATGGTATCATATCTGGTCGGTGTTTTCTCTCAAGCATTTTCGTTACTGTTGGTATCATATCTACATGGTCTTTTTTCATCTTTTTGTGCCTCTTTCTAGCATGCTTGTTTTGCCTATCTCTATTGTTTCTTTCTTGGAGCAATTCCTGCCTCCTGGGACTGTAAACTTCACTAATTCCATAAATTTTTTACTGAACGCTCAGGGTAAGTCTGAGAATGGGAAATCTCCATGGGAAGGGGTATGTATATCTTCATCCACGTTTTGTTTGGTTTGAACTGATTCCATACCGGTATTGCATGAAATTGAATCTCTTCTTTCTTCAGTCACATGATCTTATTTGTGCAAACATTACTGTTTGTCACTCTTTTTGTTTCAAAGTGATCGCTGTACTAGGTTTTACTAAATGAACGTATCAGGTTGGTCTTTCCCACGTCAGACTTTTTAAAAAAGCCTAACAGATGTTAAGCGGTAACCTAACAGGAACAAAAACAAACTTTAGCAATCACTAACGCGAATTTCATTATCCTATGAGTCAACAACGTTGTTCTTTATAAATATTGAGTTGCTGATGCTTAGGTCTGTTTAGTGAGTTTCGACTTCTCTTTTCCTAATAACTTCACCTTAGTTTACATTGTCGACTGCATGGTTGATTTATAATTGCATCTCGTTGATAAAATTACGAGCAACTTGATTGGTTACTTTCGTTGCATAGGTACAAGAGAGATGCAGGAACGAGTGGGCGATGTTTCAGGATCGTCTTGACCTTGCAGACAAGGCATATATTGCACACAATCAACTGTGATGCTTTGCTCTCCCCTCCTATCTTTGTACATTGCTCTGTTTTCTTCCTTTTCTTTTCGTCGTCCCTTCATATTGTTCAGTAGAAGATTAGCACATAAATTTGTAGTTCCAAGGTACAGATTTCCTCGAATAATTGTTCAGTTCTTGTGCATAAATGCATTAGGTGCTGCATTTCAGTTCATTTTTAACTACACTCTCTTTTTCTTCTTTCAAATGCAGTAGCCTTTCAGAATGATACACAAATAATATGAATTTCTCTTTATTTCTCTATAATATTCTCATGCATGAAGGCCAGTGAATCTCACCTGTTTGTCGAAGTCCTCCCAAGTTTCTTGGTCGGACCAATTCAACTGCCAATTTTCGACAAGCTTTAAAACAAACAGAATTACCAAAAAAGAAGTCACTTGACAAGCCTGATTGGGAGGTAACAAGTCATACAAGCGATGAAGGTCTTTCAATTTGACCCAAAATGAATTTTCTGAAGCATAATATTAGCTGATACGACCATAAATAGATATTATGCGGAAAAACCATCAATTCAAAACCAAGCGTGAATCAATAACCCTATAGACAAAGTAGTAGTTTGGTTATGATCAATAAAAACAACTCGAATCCCTGCAGTTAGATTCTTACATTCTGCTTCAAAACGATCATTCCCTTCCAAGTTAGCATTGTAAAATCGTTGGTCATGGTGTAGTTCTACGAAACATCAGTTGTCATCAGACAAATAAACGACATCTGTTGCAGGAACTGAAGAAGTAAGGCTACCCTGTACATTACCAAGGGTTTCAAGATCAGACAGCTCCAATGATCCAAAATTAGTAACAACATCTCGTAAAGATGCAACGGTAGTACGTCCATGTACAGGAGATTGGTGATCCATGTCCACAAGCAGCTGAAAGGCAGATTGAGACGAGTTATGAGGAGCTGACGGTCTACTTTCAGGCTGAGGTCTATTATGAGAAACAGAATTAGTTGGCACCAATGGCAGCTGTTGTGGCAGTGATGGCACCTGAGAATGTGGTGTTCGTTGAGGCGTGTGCTGAGAAAATGATGGAGAAGTCGCAGGACGGGTAGCTGTTGCCTGCTGACTAGGCATACCATGCGAAGGGAGACTGGCTGCAGATGCGGACGTTGAGGGCTGGAAAGGTTGAAGATGTGGGGCTGGAGAACGGACCTCTCCAATGCGCAGGTTACCCGTGGAAGGTGTGATGGCACTTATGTGTGGGGGTCTGGTTGGTGCTCCTGAACAAAGAGCTGATGCACGGTGTACAGTTTGTACAGCTGGCGTGGGATTATGCTGGCTGGCAACAGGTTGGCAACCTGACGAAGAGACAAAGCCAGAAGCAGGTCCTGTAGAATGTGGCAGCAATGGCTGATGTGTAGCTTGTCCAGTTGAAGCCATTGTCCAAGGTTGGCAACTCGAAGAAGAAACAAAGATGGGAGCTGGTACAGTAGAAAGTGGCAGTGGTAGCTGTTGTGAAGCCTGTACAGTTGGAACCGTAGTCTGAGGGCAAACTGAAGACACTGGGTGTCTCACAGGGCGTGGCATTGGTAACTGCTGCATGAAACTGGAAGACATGGCTGCAAATAGAATGAGACCAAAGTTTTAGACCCCAAGTGCATAAAAAACTGCATCACTTACATAATTCAAACAATTTTATAGATCATTAAAGTTTTATAAAAGAAATGTAATGATGTTCACTAAAACTAGAATGCAATTTAATCGACCTAAGACCTAAGCAAGATAGCAACAAGGGAATCTTGCACATGATGGTGGGCACCTGGTTCTGGAGAGTCAGTATATAAAGTTGAAAAAAAAAAAAAAAAAAAAATTTATTTCAAGTTCTAGACGTTAAAAAATTTAGTAAGAAATAATATTCATATGCCTTCACAGAAAAAGAGAATTGCTTCAAATTAATCCAATACAGTTAACAATTGGCGATAATCAAACAAGTCTTTGCATCAAGAAAGAAAAATTGGAACTGCAAAAATGTGTTTGAAAATGATATTTAGCCCTTGTTTGAGCCTCATTCTTTGAAAAAAGAATGCATTCTTAAACATTGTTTTAATATCATTTCAACCAAACATTCTCTAATAAAATAATATTACATACAAATCCAAAATTTTTCTTTATTTTTTAACCACACATTTCCCATCAATACATTATTCAAACCATCACCTCCCCCCAAAAAAAAGAAAAGAAAAATGGGGGGCTCAAACAAGGGCTTATTTCACAGTCGGAAAATTTATTCTTTACCACTACAAGTGGTGATCCACCGTGACATTTACAATTATCATATGCACCAAATACTTGTAGAGCATCCCAGCAGAGCATTTGGCATTCAAGAGCAAGCATTTTACAGTCTTTGCCATTGATATACATTAATTAGTATTTAAAATTATAGTACTGCCATATCAGATTACTCTGCACCAATTATTCAAACTCACAGCTTCGGGTGTCTGTTAGTACATATTTCAGAGCCAAACCTATCCGACACCAGCTCATAGCCCAGGTAGCAACCCATCAACACATGGACTGCTTAGAAAGCAAACATTTTCAATCCCACAAAAACTGCACTACCACCCCGCACTTTTGGTGTGTGTCAGTGCAGCTTAACTGAATAAAAAAGGTTAACCGTGATGCATGATACTTACAAATGGAACACAATTGAACTCTTTGAAAATGGCATTCTTTGCAGCCATCTCTAATGCCTATTAAATTTGAATATCAAGTGAAAGAAAAATAATTACATCAGTTCTTCACACAGACTGTGAACGGTATTGAGAATTCTAAACATGCTAAACTCACGTTCAAATCATAAGATCATCTCAGGTACTGACATTCTGAAACAAGAAAAGATTACTAGCGATTTGATGAGTATGACCAAGGAATTATTACCTTGCTGCAATCTTGAAGGCGAAGAAGGCTTGAGATCCAAACACTTAGATCTGAAAGCCTCAGCCAATATTCTGTTCATAAGAACATTATTATGATTCTTATCAAGTTCATTCTTTTTCAGATGAAATGCTATTTCAGCATCATGAAGTTTTGCCTCGAATTTATTACGTATCTGAGCAATAACTTCCTCTATCGCCTTCTCACACTCAGATTTCAACAGCAACTTCTGCAAAATGAGAGGTTTCTAGCACAATCAGGACATACAAAACAGACAGAAAAATTACGAAGCAATTTAAACACTAACCAAATCTTCATAAACTTTAACCGTCTTTTCTCTCTCTTTACTGATCCTTAACAATTCATTTAAAAGTGGCTCAGCATGCAAAGATGGAGCAGGATGCCAAGAGGGGACTTGATAAGGAGGCTGAGATGTAAGGTTTCCGGATCCTCGAGCATGAGATAAATCTACTTCTGTTTGCCAAATAACTTGACTTGGAAGTTCGGCTGTATTTACTACAGCTTGGGGCGCAGACAAAAAACTTTGGGAGGCAAAAAATTCACCATTGGGCACATGATTAACTTGACTAACTAATCCTAAATCAAGGTGATAGCGATCAAGAGTTGAATCCACAAGAGCAACTGGATGATGCTGCTCCAATTCTTGGCCACGTTGACAAGCGACTTGATGTGAAAGTGCTTCCGGTTCCCCAGATGACTGAGGAGAAGTTTCCGGAATTAGGATTCTTTCTCTATCATAGTTTTCATGTTCAACCTCACTTGCAGGTGTTCGATCACAGCTGAGAGATACATCAATGGAAACTGGCTGCAGCTGCTCACGATTCTCGATTGCCGGTGCATGGTTAGATTGTGCTGGGGGTTCAGAGTTAATACGTTCTGAGGTTGCAACTCCAACCTGCAAAGTACTTAGATTTTCTGATAGAAGATCATTAGACAATGCACAGGTTTCAGAGTCAATATGTTTGGAGATTGCAACTTCAACCTGCAAAGTACTTCGATTTTCAGGAACTGGTGCATCTCCCAATTGAAATTCCCCATATACCGAACTTTCTAGTAGTACCTGGTCATATGGCATTTTTTTATTAGTCGTCATTCTATAGTTTGATATGGAAAAGCATGGGAAAATCTGCATGGGTCAAAAAAACCATGTTCAAGCAGAAATCCATCCACCCTCTTGCTCAAATTGCTAATTAATCAAGGGCTGCAGGAATAAATACTTATACAAAAATATCTATCATGGTGAATAGCTGTCCGCATCAAATGATTTCGAGACAGTCATCCAAAATAAACAATAGTACCACCATCAATCCAAAAAACTATTATTAAAAAGCCTAGTTTTCTGTAGGATACCATAACTTAGTGAAAAATAAGTTACTGTTTGGTGCATTGCGGAAGGGCAAACAAGATAAAATAGCAGAAATGTAGACAATTCAGAAAGGTATAGGATATATACTTGACTCGGTGGCAAAGAACCACAGTGATCTGAAGGAGCAAATGTTTCTGCCGGAGGTAACAATGATTGTTCAAGTGAACTTGGACAGCCATCAATTGACTCATCACCATCTATCTGGTTCACATCATCGGACAAACTGGTATCAATTCTATCTCCTATATCGCACTTCTTATTGGAAAAATCACTCTGTTCAACAGAGTGAACATGACCCGCATCTTCAGGAATAGTATCAGGCACCCCTGTTGGAATTCCTTCACTCGCCTGAACCATTTGAATTTCATTAGAAACCAATTCCCCACAACCAGGCAGGTCCACAGAAGCCATCTCCCTGGTAGTATTACTGGAATGAGTCAATTCACTGGGCAGCTCAGCAATGGATGTACTCTCAAAGGAAGATGACCCCACCTCCCTTTCAGAAGTTATATTTACCAGATGATTAGCAGTTTCGGTAGGCACAGTACAACCTACTGCCTCAGCTTGTGCAATGACACATGTATTAGATGGTGCTACATCGTTCTCTTGCGCGAGATGCACAGCTTTGGTTGGATTTGTGTCTTCAATATGCTGTTCAGACATGGGGACGGCATTCTCAGGATCACGGAGCGTAATATGTGCACGGGTTTTAGAGCATCCAACTGGATCATCAACAGCTTTAAGTTCACTATGGCAGGCTTTCGCTTTGGCCAACCAACGGGCTGCCTTTCGTCTCTCATCATTCCTTGCAACTAACTGATTTGCCTCAAGATCTTTAACGTGCATGTCCTTCAAACACTTATACTCTTCCATTTTCTTTGCGAAATCAGAATCCAAAAGCTTGAGTTTGTCTATTGTTACTGAACCTCCATGTATAAACCGGATACATGCAGACTCCAATTTGTGTTCTTTCTCCAATCGCTCCTTTTTCTCCTCCCAAATTCTGTGAAATTTCTGAACTTCTTCCTGCTGTTTCCTAAGAAGTATTTTCAGCCGCTTGTCACATTTTCTCCGGATTTTCTTTAACATATATTCAGTTTCACATTCAGCAACTTTGTTCTTCAGTGGCTTTTTATGCTCTGAAACAATCAGACCACTGGAATGCTCTTTATTTGCTGATCTTTCAATATCAGATTTCACACTTAGCAGGCTAACCACTGAAAATTGTGGTATCCCAGCATCAGTTTTACATGACTCTATGCTGAAATCTTCTGTCGATAACAAGCAATCCTTTATAGATTTTTTCGTGTTCAGGGAACACTGCAAAAACATCTTCTTCAACAATCGCATCTTTGAATAAACATGGTTTGCCTGTTCTTCTGTGCATCCATAATTCAAAAACTGTTTTGCTGTCATGAGCGAATCCTTCTTATTGATTTTTTGTTTCAAGATTGAAGCTGCAATCCAACACTGACAAAATAACAGTACATACAGAAATGAAACAATCAAAATCATAGTGAATCATCATGCATATACTAAAAGAATAATCAGCAGGTACTTCTTCCTGTGTGTCAGAGAGCATCACAGAGATGCACAATGTGACTGCATTTGACTGACTCCGGAACAGTAAAGAAACTCATGATCACATTCAGCAGACCATTCCACAACGGACACACCTCTTTATTGCAAGTTGCATTCTACTTATCTGTGAATTTTCATTCACTTTGGGTCCTGAAACTAGGAGAAACAAATGATATCGAGGAAGGATATTGGTCAACAAGTGGGCAGTTTCCAACAAGAAAGGATTCCAAAGTCCAAGGGTAGTCCCTGCCGTGGAATCCAAAGTAGAAAGAACCCATAAAAAGGTTCTGTGTACAAGAACATTCCAACAATAATTCTAAGGATACATTAGATAAACTACTTTTGGTTTTATATCTAGAGCAAAACTAAATTTCTTCTGAACCACTGATTGGCAGGCCCAAATTAAAGCACAATTCTGGTTACGTATAATCTATTCATTATTTTTTCATCACAAGACTAAAAAGGGAATTCATGGTTCATATGCCCATAAAGAATAATCAAATTAAGTTCAAATATTTCGCTAGGTCAGTTAAACTATGTTTTACTCCCAAGAGAGTTAAAGTTTGCTACATGAATCGCTTTTTACGTTTCCATTTGATCAACTGCTAAATATATCGGAACATTAACGCAATTAAATCCTTTGAAAACATTTTTTTGAATACACACACACACACACACACACACACACATGAGACTTACTCGAATCCTACCTCAAGTGAGGCATTCATAAAACGCCTCAAAGCTTACTTCTTGAGGGCTATTCACAAGGCTTATGCCTGAAGGCTAAACCTCAAGGTACTAAGATGTTCACCCTTTTGTCTTGCATTTCCAGACATTTTGTTATTGACCTTAGCTTTTGGCGATTTCAGGATAATCTAGAAAGTTTCATGAGTTTTTATTTTTGTTTTTATGTCATTACATGGGAGAGGGGAAGGAGAATATGCCATTGACAGTGGAAGATGGTAGCAAAAAATTAGAAGAAACTAACAGTGACGAGGTCAACGTTGATCCTTCCATGAAGATCATTTTCATAGTCATGGTATAAGCAATCTCTAAGTTGTTTCTACTTCAGTGAGTATATCACAATACTTTTTTGTGATAAGTTGTTTCCACTTCAATGAGTATATTACAACGTTGTTTTGTGATCTTATTCTCAGCTTTTAGGGCTATTTCTTTGATAATCTAGAATGTCTTATGGGTCTTTTGTTTTCTTCTTTGTGCCTTTACAATGAAGGGAAGTGTAAATACAAGTAGTTTGACTTCTTGTATATTTTTTGTTTCATGATTACTACTTCAAGAACCTAGCATTTACTACTTCATTTATATATTTTATTGCAATGACCCCATAAGATTTCAACTTCAATTGCAAAAAGACCCAAGATTTTTTTTTTTTTTTGATAGGTAATCATAGAATTTTATTTCTTAAAAGAGAGTACACGGGAGGTATACAATCACTTTAAGCATGAAAGGAACAACATAAAATTAGGCAACCCTACAATAGAATTTTTAGCCACTGCATTAAACTAAATATACAAAGTCAAGTAAAATAATTCTCTTATCTGCTCTATTGTCTTTGTCTGGTTTTCGAAACATCGATCGTTCCGTTCTCTCCATATGCACCATACAATGCATCCCGGAATAAGATTCCAAAAAAGTTTGCTATCCTTATCACGAAGTTTTCTCCTCCATGTCGCACCACGTCTTCTATACACCTAAATAGCACCCAATCCATTGATTGAGAAGCCAGAATACTATTCCAAAGCCAACGTACACCATCACAATGAATGAATAAATGATCAATCGTCTCTTCATCCTTCTTGCACATATAGCACCACTCGATTACATAAAATCCTTTGCGTCGAAGATTATCCACCGTTGACACTTGTCCCCTCATAACTGTCCACAATAGAAATGCTACCCGTGGAGGCAATTTGCTTTGCCAAACCCTCTCCAAGGTAATGAACTTTCCACAAATCCCAAAAGGGATTGAAAGTACGAGCAGACTGAAAAAATACCGTCTCGAGCCAACCTCCACCTGCTGCAATCACCCTCTCCTACCCGAATTTGTATATCATGCAGGGCAGTAAAAAACAACGAATAATCTTCCAATTCCGAATCCTGTAAGCCCTTTCCAAAAGTAATATTCCAACTAAAGCCCCCATTATGAATGTCTAATACATCACCCACCATAGCAGCAGGCTCTAACACAATGTGGAATAATGAAGGAAATCCCTCCTTTAACGGTTGATCGCCACACCAACTATCATGCCAAAATCTAATATCAGTGCCATTTCCCACCACAAAATTCAGTTTGTCACTAAAATCACTCCATCCCCGTCGGATATACCTCAACCGCACACCAACCCCCCTCCATCACACCATACTTTGCCCCAATGATTTCTCTCCAAAAACTCTCCCTCTCCACAACCACTTGCCTAATAAAGCCTTATTAAACAAAACAAGGCTCTTCACTCCAACCCTCCCATCCTCATAGGCAAACAGACAGTACCCCAATTAACCAAATGCATTTTCCTCTCTTCCCCTAACCCTGCCCACAAGAATTCTCTTTAAAGTCTCTCTAATCTATTTGCCACTGCAACCGGAATAGGAAACAATGACAACAAGTGGGGAGATTTGAGAGAGTGGATTTAATAAGAGTAAATCGGCCTCCCTTAGATACATACGCTTCCACCCTGCTAACCTCCTCTCCATTCTTTCCATAATACCATTCCAAATATATGTACTTTTAAACCGTGCCCCTAGCGGGAGCCCTAAATATGACATGGGCAATTGTGCAACCCTACATCCCAATATGCCAGCCAACTCCTCCACGTTAGTGACCTCCCCTACTGGAATAACCTCATATTTCCCCAAATTGATTTTTAATCCAGACACCACTTCAAAACATAGGAGCAAACGACGCAGGTTCCTGAATTGTTCATCATCCGCATCGCATAAGATCAACGTGACATCTGCAAATAGCAAATGAGACACCTGCAATTGGCCAACCATAAAGCCCCTTACCAAACCCTCTCCCACAGCTCTTTCAAACATCCTACTAAAACCCTCCATCACAATAACAAATAGTAATGGGGATAGTGGATCTCCTTGGCGCAAACCTCTACTACTCCGAAAATAACCCTCTGGCGATCCGTTGACCATAACTGAGAACAAAACAATAGAGATACAGAACTAAATCCATTTACACCACTTATCCCCAAAGCCGCACCTCCTAAGCATATACAAAAGGAACCCCCAGTTCACATGATCATATGCCTTCTGAATATCGAGCTTACATAGCATCCCGGGAATTCCCAAACGCAATCTTGAATCAATGCATTCATTAGCTATAAGCACAGAGTCCAAAATCTGGCGACCTTTTACGAAAGCATTCTGAAACTTGGACACTATTCCGAGCACCTCCTTTAATCTATTCGCCAGGACTTTCGCAATAATCTTATACATCCCACAGACAAGGCTAATAGGGCGAAAGTCCTTAATGTCAGTCGCCCCCGATTTCTTAGGGATAAGCACAACAAATGTAGCATTAGAACTTTTTTGGAACCTGCTATGTTCAAAAAAATATGTAAACACATCCAAGATTTCCGATCGCACCACCTCCCAACAAGCCTTGTAAAATAAGAACGAGGAACCATCCGGTCCAGGGGCTTTATCCTCGTTCATGCTAAACACTACCTCCTTGGTTTCATCCTCCTCAAAAGGTCGCTCTAACCAATCGGCATCATCCTCCGTGATGATAGAAAAATCCAATCCTTCCAACTCTAGCCTCCACTCAAACTGCTCCCGATATAGATTCTGATAGAAATTCACCAGTTGGCTTCCAATTTCGAGTGGTTCTTCATAAGTTATCCCATCCACTTCCAACACTGTGATAGAATTTTTACGCCTATTAGAATTTGCGATCCTGTGAAAAAACTTAGTACATTTATCTCCTTCTTTCAACCAATTGACCCTAGATTTCTGACGCCAAGCAATCTTCTCCATCTCTACCAACCTCTCCAGTTCTTCCCTTAATGCTCTACGTTTATCCTTCTCCTCCCCAGCCAACCTTTGACGCTCCTCCCACCTATCCAACTCATCTATCTCCGAAAGGCACTGAATCTTACGACAGTTCACATTGCCCACAACCTCCTCATTCCATTTCTTTAAATCCCTTTTCAAAGACTTCAACTTCT